ACACTTCTCCGTGGACCTAGTTGTTCTGATGCTCGGGCTACAACCAAGACTCGGCTACCCCCTGGTGGCTGCTGGCCTTACTGCAGGCAAAGTGCCTGAGCTGGATGGGAAGTCAGAGCCGTGGAGGCCACGGTCATAGTGTTGAAGAGAGCAGGACCAGACCAGGGAGAGGAGGAAGAAATGAAAGCTACACCACAGGGGAAGCTTTAGGCTGAGTTTCCAGCTCCTATTTTCCCAGTGAACCTCATACACAGAGCCCCAAGGTGCTGAGTGGATAAGCGGGGGTCCTTGTCAGGACAGAGCACTGCAGGCGGAGGGGTGAAGGCGCGGCAAAGAGAACCCAGAGGCTTAACAGAGGGCGTGGAGCAGTGCTGCCAGGACAGCCAACTGCGGGGGTGAAAAGATCCACATCTGTGCCAGCCCCAGCCATGGCGCCTGCTGAGGACACGAAATGGCGTCTGAGGACTGAGGAGCTGGATTTTAAGCTTACTTAATTATAAGTAATTTGAATGTAAACAGTCAGAGGTGGCAAGTGGTCACCACATTGAACAGAGCAGGATGGGAGAAATAAAAAAGGTTTATTCTTCAAATCAATCATTGAGGTTTAACCAGCAGCTATGCAGTACAACACTAAACAGTGGGCACTGTTTGGTTTTTGGTTTTGTTTTCTAAGCAAGAAAAAAGGAAAAGGATCCAGGGCCCCTCACCTCCAGAAGCTGGCAACCCAACGGGAAGTATTTGATTCTGGGGGGAACCCTCACACACTCTGGGGAAGAAGAACCCCTGATTCCCAGAATGCCCGCTTGACTTAGAGCCTCGGCCTTCAACACATGACTTTAATACGGGATTGGGCCCTGACCGGTTTGGCTCAGTGGATAGAACGTCGGCCTGCGGCCTGAAGGGTCCCAGGTTTGATTCTGGCCAAGGGCATGTACCTTGGTTGCTGGCGCATCCCCAGTAGGGGGCGTGCAGGAGGCAGCTGGTCGATGTTTCTCTCTCATTGATGTTTCCCTCTCCATCTAGACTGCCAGCTTAGGCCTAATCCCCCGGGGAGCGGGCCTAAGCCAGCAGGTGGTCATCCCCCAAGGGGTCCCAGACTATGAGAGGGCACAGGCCCGGCTGAGGGACCCCCGCTGAGTGCACAAATTTTTGTGCACCGGGCCTCTAGTTTTAAAATAAATAAAAATAACGGGATTGGTACCAATGCAACTGCTCTGGAGAGGGGATCCCCAGGGGCAGGAACGAAGCCTTATTTTTCAAGTTCTGAGACAAGTGGAAAGCAAGGTCGGTTTACCAGGCCGGAGACTTGGGCAGGTGGAAGAGACCTCAGCTGTGGTTCAAGTTTCAAGGGGGACAAGGGGGCCTGGAAACCTCCTGGTCTTGATCAATGGGTCTCACTATGGTTGTTTGTGAGAGAATGTGTTTTGCTTAATAAATGGATTTCCAGAGCATTATTTTTAAAAAGGGAGAGAGATTTCCAAGTCTGGTCTCCAAGAGACCTGGGGCTCCATTTCCCTGGGGGTGTAATTACAGGCTAGGAAACAGCCGATGTCCAGGACGGAAGCAGTCAGAGACGGGACGCTTTGAAGGTGCTGGAGAAGGGTGTCCCCAGGGAGGACACAGAAAAGGTACAACACTTCCAGGGACAGGGGTTCCTCCGAGGGAAAACTTGGGGTGGGATGAGGGATCATAGGCCTGGGGAGAAATTTCCCGTGTGTCATTTTTTGTTTGTTTTAGCATTTCCAGTTCTAATGTAACCTTAACAATAATAACAACTTAGATTTGTACAATGATATGGTTTTTAAAAAACTTCTTCACACTTCACGGTGATGCAAACAAAAACCCTGCAAACATTCATTTATTTTTTTTAGTGGAAGGGTTCAGGGCTCAAAGTTATAAGGGGGGAAAAATTTAATTGGGAGTATAGCCCGAAGCCCTTTATTTTTCCAGGTAAGCAGGGCAGTTTACCTCCTCGGAGGGAGCCATCAAAGGATGCAAAAAAGAGCAGAAGTTAAGGGAGGGGTGACCCTCACCCAGTCACTGGTCCCAGCCTCCTTTTAATCCCTTCAAACGAAGAGTCGTCCGCTCACCTCCCACTCTCTCCTGCATCCGTGTGGCTAAACACAGTTGGTATTGAGAGTGAGAACTGATTTGTGAGTTGAGAGTGCTTTCTGGCAAGAGACAGGCAGGGTCGAGGAGATGTGAAATGGAACCATGAGCCGGGTGACCACCAACCCCATTTGCTTGGGACAGGCCGAGTTAAACCTGCTGTCCAGCATCATTCTCACAGCACCCCTTCCACTCTCAGACGTGTCCTAGTTTGGACATTAAATTACGTGGCCATCCTAGCCATGGGTGACTTAGGCAGGGTGTCTTTTTAAAAAATACGTTTTTATTGATTTCAGAGAGGAAGGCAGAGGGAGAGAGAGATACAAACATCAGTGATGAAAGAGATTCATTGATCAGCTGCCTCCTGCACGCCCCCTACTGGGGCTTGAGCCGAAACCCAGGCATGTGCCCTGACCGAGAATCGACCTGACCTCCTGGTTCACCGGTCCATGCTCAGCCACTGACTGCTCTGACTCTTCCCCTGGGGGAATAACGGTTGTTCAGCTTGGCTTTCTCATTCTCAAGGTTAATGCTCCTAAGGAGCAAAGTGTGCATCCCAGAAATGCTGAAGAGGCTCACGTTTTAACCCGAGTCACCTGGGCATTTACGGTTCTGGATGGGGCCTCAGGCAGTGACCCACACAGAGCCGGCTGTTGAAAAACTCATCTGGGGAAGTTGTTAAAAATAGAGATGTATGAGCCAACCGCCTGAGATTCAGATTCAGCACATCTGCGAATCTATTAAAAAATGAAAAATAACGCTTCCCGGGTGGTCTGGACAGGAAAGCTAAATTCGACCCCTTCATGAGTCTCTGTCCTTTGACCCCTGCCTGGAGTGATGCACTGTTGCTATGGAAACCATTGATGGGCCCCTCAGCCAAATTGGAGTTTACTTCTTTTTTTAGCAAAAATATAAAAAGTGAACTGTCTCAAAAATAGAGGGATTATTTTTGGAAGAGAAGATCTGTTTCTTCTCTCAAGACATTTCTATTTAGAGACAAAAGGCAAAGCCTCCCAAAGGCAGAAAACTTTCTCCTCTGAAGCCCAGTTCCGCACCAAGCAGGCATCCCTCACCACGTTAGTCCATCTGGAAAGAACTATGAGAAGTTGTTTCCTGAGACAAGTTTCCGACTGTCTGGCGCGTCCTGCAGGTTAGTTAGCTGCAGGTGCCTAGCAGGAGGCCTGGGCTCAGGGCTTCCCCAGGTCAGAGTGGCCGGCGGTGACTGGCCAAGACGGCATCGAGACACTGGCAGCTCCGGTTGAGGCAGATCTGGGAAAGGATGGCCCTACAAATTCACCATCAGAAGAGAATTTATACACAGTGGCGGAGTGGACAGGTGGCCCGTACTGAGCCACCCTGATAATGTACCACGCTTATGCTCTGAGCTGGGTAAGGAGCAGTCACCCATCTCCCTTCGGGCTTCAGAAGCAGAGGAGGTGGGACAGAGAGAAGAGCTGAAGGAAGACTTCTGTAGCTTTATGTTGTAAAGTTGGCCTGATGAATTCAAATTTAGTCATTCTGGGTTCTCTTTTCTTTCAGCTCAAAAATAAAAGCATAAAACGGTTGCATCACAAACAGAAAGATCTTGGAATTCTTTATGAATCCTGATACATCTCCTTGGGACACCAAAGCGGAATGTTCCCTCCAAAGATACTCACTGGGCGCCATCACCCGGCAGCAGCTACTGTGCCAAGCTGGGCGAGGCCCCCGGGGACCAGCAGTACTAAGTTCTGTTACGGAGGAGCCACTCCTCTGAAATGGGAACCATCCCCTCCTGGGTCTTCTTCTCTCTCCCAGCCTGTGTGTGCAGGTCTCCCTGACTTCAGGTGGAAGGTGCTTTTCAAACAGACACTCAGTCCGGGTACTGAGTCTTTCTCCCAGAATTGTTGCTAATGGGCGTCACTCTGAACCAGGGCACAGAAAGTCCCGCTCCCTCTGCGGACCCAGCTGGCTGTCAGCACGCTCCGCCACACCTTCCTCTCAAAGCCCCGGAGCACCAAGATCCGCACTCATCGCCCTCTCCCGAACCCTTTCAGCTCCACTCCCTTCTGCCTACGAGCCCTCACATCGCCCCCCAGGACCAGCTTCCTTCTGCTAGTACAACTCGCGTCCCCACACGTGGATTTGGGGCGAGGGGTAGTCACCAGGAAAACTAGGACAATCTGGTGCATTTATTCTGAGAGTAAACATCTACCCATTTAATTTCAGGGCCGAACACATGCTGAGGAACTGACACAACGACAAGGAGAAAGTGATGCGAGAAGAAACCAAGAAGGAAACAGAGGACCTGCGAACAGGCTGGATGGAAGAGAAGTAAAGCTTACACCACAACAGCCCACAAGACCAGTGCTTACTTCAAACCTCCCCCTCCTGATACCTCTCGCTGCTGTTACAGGTATCCTCGCCCTCCAGGTCTGAGCCACTCAACTTCCTCTGGGAGCCTGGGTCTCTCCTGGGGCTGCTGGGCCCCGAGTGTGGAGCCCATCACTCAGGGAGCCTCCGCCTGCCTAGCTTGCGTTTAGGGGACCCTCCCAGTGCACCCTGGGAAGCTGCAGAGAAGCTCTCCCTCCCTCCCTTCCCTCCTCTATTTCTCTGAGGGAGGCCGGAGCTCCAAGTAATTGAGAGGGTATTGACCTGGGACCTTCAGAGGAGCTTCAGGGGCTCAGGAAAGCTCTTAACATTGTGTACGTCGTGTGTGCAAGCATGCCAGCCATTTTCTGGGGGCGAGGTTTACCATTTTTTCCATTCGATTTTCAAGGAACCCCCCAAAAGGATAAGGAACCACCGACTGGTCCCCAGCTTGTCCCGGGCAGGTTGCAGGGGTGTGAGCAGGGCAGGCTGGAGGGATGGAGACGCTCAGGCGGCGTGGAGGTCAGGGCCCAGCACGGTACCTTGGAGGCAGCCATCACCGCCGCTGTGGCCGCCACGTTCAAGCCTCGCTTCCCGAAGTGCACAAGGGCGTCGTAACTCCGGTCCTTAGCTTGGACAAGGCAATCATCGATTTCCTGTCAAAGGAAAACAGAGACACACTGAGCGGAGGGTTCAGAGGATCGCTGTTCTTTCTCCCTTCTTCTGGGGCCTGGGCTTGGCACCTTGCCCAGTCACGGTTCCCCCGGGACTGAAGTCACGGGCACCTTGGGTGTGTGTGAGAGTAAATATGAGGGGGGAGGGAGAGAGGCAGAGGGGGTGCAGGGGAATGGAAAGGGGGATTTTGAAACACGGCCACTCACTGACTGACCCTGTTATACACGGCCACGCTCTGAGCCACGGAAGGACCCTGGGGGGCCGAGAATGCCAAGAATAAAGTGTCTAACCCCAGACCCGCCACTAATCGGCTGTCAGACCCTGGCACACAGTTCTGTCTTCTGAAAAGCGGGGCAGCGATAGCACCAACTCGGGAAGCACAGTGAGGATGGCAATAGGTCACCCCATGAAGCGTCTGACACAGGACGGTGTCCACCTGTGAGGACACGGAGACCTTCCTTCCTTCTGGGCGCCAGGCCCTTGCAGCTCTAAAATCCTATGACTGTATGGCTATTTCATGCTATAGCCTAACAGCTCCCCATGTGTTTATCGTCGGGAGGGATTAGGTCATAGAAAGAGATAGGTGTTATTTCTGTTGATAAGGCAGATCATTTTGTAGATAATGAAATAACGGCCAAAATCAGAAATCACCTCAGCATCATGCCCTAAGGCAGCGGTTCTCAACCTGTGGGTCCCAACCCCTTTGGGGGTCGGACGACCCTTTCACAGGGGTTGCCTAAGACCATCGGAAAACACATATATAATTACATATTGTTTTTGTGATTAATCACTATGCTTTAATTACGTTCAATTTGTAACAATGAAAATACATCCTGCATATCAGATATTTACATTATGATTCATAACAGCAGCAAAATTACAGTTATGAAGTAGCAGCAAAAATAATTTTATGGTTGGGGGTCACCACAGCATGAGGAATTGTATTAAAGGGTCGCGGCATTAGGAAGGTTGAGAACCACTGCCCTAAGGTAAAGGTGGGGTGGGATAGAGGATGAGGTTGCCTTCGTGACTAAAACAGAGTAAAATCCTGGTTTCGTTCCCATTGGAATCCACTCTGGCTTATTCCCTCCAGGTGTGTGTGTGTGTGTGTGTGTGTGTGTGTGGGTGTGTGTGTGTGTGTGTGTGTGTGTGTGTGTGTGTGTAGTGGCTCTGTTTCATACAACGGCTGCTGTGTCATCACTGGCTCATCACTGGCTCATTTCAGGGTCCGGTGAGACAGCGACAGTGGCCTCCGTCTCCTTTGCGGGTCAGCACATTCGTGCATGTCCTTTGCTCGGAGGTGCAGGAGGCAGTCAACCCCTGCTCCTCCCTTGTTTGGCTTCCCCAGGAAGTCCCCAGTCAGTGTCCCTGTGACCCTGACTGCCTGGAAGTGGCTCTGGGCAGTTCTTAGGAGTCAGCTGCCTTCACCTCAATGAAATCACAGTGGCAGCTGCAGGGTGAGACGGCCTTCAGGGAAACGAAGGTAGAAGAAGGACTGGAAACCCAGGTCAGGAGCGGGCTCGCCACTCCTCAAAATCCACCCTGCGAGGCAGGAAGTGCCGTGTCATCGCTTCTAGAGGGATTCTCAGAGATGTCTATGTAGCCTGCTCACCTCACTGACACGTTCCCCAGAGCCTTCCCAGAAGAATTCCACTTTCATAATAACGCAGATGAACACAGAAAGCCACCAAAGTGCTCCTGATTCACGTTAAAGAAGCCTATCACATGATCAGTTAGAAAGTCACATAAGATAATTAATGAATTATACAATTTGGAACCAATAATGTCATTCTTGGGAATTTATTCTAAGTAAAAAAAAAATAAGTCAAAAGAAGAAACTAAACTCCACGCATGGTGGTGTTTACTTGGTCACTGCGAAGACCAAGTGAAAATGAATTATGGTACATGCAAAAACACGTTCCGACCTCAGAATACAAATGCCGTACCTATGTTAAGTTATGTTGTTGTTTGGTTTTTGAGCTTTTTTGGTGCACTTAAAATTTTATTTTAAAGAAAGGTTACAAAGACTGGTATGCATAAAAAAGAAGTTATCAACAGGTTAGTAAGAGAAATCAGTGTTTATTTTAATGGACTTTGCATTCATTATGGTATGAAATATTTAAAAAACAACTACAGAACAATCCATTGAAAGCAAATTTGGCAAATTAGGTTCAGTGGAGATGTTAAACAAAAAATAATTGTATAAATAGTAACATTATCTTGTAAATACCTAGAATTAAGTTATTTTTCATAATATATAAGTTGTAATTCTTTAATTTTTTGTTGTTGTTGTTAATCCTCACCTGAGGATATTTTTCCATTGATTTTTTTAGAGAGAGTGGAAAGGAGGGGGAGAGACACAGAGAGAGAAACATCAGTGTGAGAGAGACACATCAACTGGTTGCCTTCTGCACACATCCTGACCAGGTCCAGGGATCAAACTTATTTTTCCCCATCTCTGACATTACAAAAATTTTACATTTTTATTTTAAGGATGTTTGCAAAGTACTTTGAAGCAAAACAAACACAACAGGTAAAGATCATGAAACAAATTATGATTACTGTTCTCATGAATACTTAACATGT